ATACTTTTTATATATATTAATTTACCCAATAATTCAAAACCATTGTCTCAAGCTTGAAAGTAGTTTGTGCGCCTAAAAGTATGCTACAAAATAAAAATATATATAAAAAATCACTTTGCATATGACTTTAACACCTTGAGTAAACTTGTTCTAAAGGCTAGCTTACATATCATGTTAGAGTCAAAAGAAATAATAATTTTCACATTTATATTTGGCCTACTTATAGGCGCTCCCATAATTTTAAACCATAAAAGGGACACTTTGGAGTATTGGATAAATTAAGATATTTTTTAAAGTATAAATATTTTTACATAATTTATTTTACAGTATGGATTTTCTTGGTAGTTCAAAAATTTTGGAAGCGCCAAAATGTATGCCATAGAAATATTAAATAAAAAAATGTGGAAAATTTACATTTTACATATGAATCTAAATGTTGTGTAAACTAGCCTTTATAGCGACTTCGATTATGAAATTGAAAATTATAATTTTCCCATTAAAAAACATTATAGGGCCTAAAATTATGCTACAAATAAATATAAGTTTGAAAAATTCACCTCTCAAATGACTCTTACATCATATGTTAGCTTGATTTAGAGGCTAGTTTACACGTCATGTAATAGTCATTAGAAACGAGTATATTTTTATTTAGCATACTTATAGGCTCTCAACCTCCGTTATTTTTACTACCGATTTCGATAATATATGAAATTTCTTGATTTGGTATTTATTTTCCATTTGCAACCTAATATCCGAAACCCTGTCAAACCATGTGACCAATACCGACATAAGAGCATAAATGAATTTGCCTAAAGCATTTTCTAGACTGTGACCGAAACCTGCACGTGCACACTAACACATGCATATATACCAACATACCTTCAAGTATGGCCACACGGAATGACAGTCTATTTATGTACATTCATATATGACGTTAGCCGTGGCAAACATGTGAATAAATGTGGCACTTAAAGGATATGACCGCTCGTTTTGGTCAGCAGGAGCTTTGGGACCACATACCGTCCAACCAAGCAACGTACCAAAAGGGAAGTTATAAATGTTTCCGTGGTTTTATAGTTCCATTTAAACATAAATGGCAAATATAGAGTCGACAAGTGTGTATAGAAATGGCATGTCCATAATATCATAAAATAAACACACACACATACATACATTTGTATGTGTGAGACCATACTAGACTAGAAAATATAAAGCTTTGTTAGACTTTAATGTTGTGTTGATAAGATTTATGGAGAAAATTAAAATTGAAACGAAATATTAAAAAGAGGGTGACAAAATTGAGTACGAATTTTGAAGTGATACAAAATTAAACGCTGAATATAAACAGGGACACTTAAGGAAAATTCTTGTTTTTCATGCTTCTATGAAAGATTCTAAAGTTATTGTTTTATTAAAGTCTATAATCCTTTAATTTTTTTTTTTTACTTTTATTTATTAAATCATTCATTTATTTATTTATTTTTTTTTTTTTTTTTTTATTCATTTGTTTGTTTGAGGCCTTTTTGCCACAACCCCCCTTCATTTCTCTTCCTTCTCCAACTTTCCCTGTCCCCACATTTGTAAATCCATATATTCTACCCTCTTCCAGCGGCCATGGTGTATACTTTATATATTATTAATAAATTCAATTTTTATTAACAATTTTCTGTGTAACTTTTTGTCTGTTTTTTTTTTTGTACTTTTTTTATCAATTTTGCTTCTGTTTCTTTTTTTCGTTTCGTAACTGTCATTCATTTATTCATAAATTTCCCACAGGAAATTCGTTCACGACCAACATCAATGACATTGGGGCAGGATGCAGAAACAAGAAAAAAAAATCATACGAATGTGGAAATAACATAAAAGTAAACACTTATCTGGGCATTTGCGTTGGCTACCGCTTGCATTGCCGTTTTTTTTTTCGTTGATGTCGATTGTTTGTTTGTTTGGTTGTTGGCTAAAGTTGTTGCAATATTGGCCACCTAGAACAGCCAACGCCAACCGGCCGGCCAGCCAGCCAAAAAGGGCCTACAGGCTCATATCCGTTTAATAATGTCGATAATACTTGCATTTTATGGTAACTGTAAATAAAAGTTGATGTTTTTTTGTTGCTCCCGAACATTTTTTCGCGCGACAATATGTAATCTTGGGGGCAATATTGCAAGTTGGGAAAGTCAAAAATATCGGATTTTTTGGACAATATGGGTAATTTTTGTGCGAAAAATTTAAACGATTCCGGTTACAAAAATTATAAATTTCAACAAAATTGTCCACAAATCGAATTTATGTCATAGGCTTGGGAATCGAGTGATAGTCTAAAGCCCCTATTATTTTAGGAAGAACAACTTAGAATAAAATTTGGGTTCGATTTAAGGGTTTGTTTATGCCTGAAATAATTTGTATTGGAAATCGACTATATCAGCCGATGTTTGCTTATGGGTCCTCATACAATTGCCTTCCGATTTTCAGGATTTTGACAATTTTAACCAAAGTCTCCAATATTTTAGCAGTAATCTGTCATGTCGGAATATATTTTGAGAATATAGTATTCTCTATGAAATTGTTCGTAATCCAATGCCACCCGATTTTAAGCACATAAGCGGATTTTCCAACCAAATCAACATTTGAAGATTTAGGTTCCCCAAGGATAACAAAGGTCTACAAAATTGTGTTTATACTGGTTCTGTATTTTATTTACTCCATACCTAATTTCAAATTTTACAGGTCTAAGTATGAAAATGTCTTTTGTAGGTCAAATATTTGGTGTTGCCTCAATATAAGGTTACCACCCAATTTCTTTCCAAAGAAAAGTTAACTGCTATGCCAGGCCTCCAATTACTAATATATAACGTTTCCTCCCTATTTCAAAAATTTCGGAAATATTTCCAGAAAAAAGTTAACTAAAAAATACTCCCATTTCTAAACGATAATAACATTTTCCATACAGGACTCATATTTGATATGTCTCAAAAAATCGGAAACTCCTGATTTTCCATATTTTAATAATTTCAGTCACAATTTCCAAGAATTTTAACTAAAGTTTCCAAAAGATTTAGCTGTAATATTCTATGCTGATTTTAAATAGGAATAGAGTTTCCGTATAAAATGCTTAGTATAAAAGCAGTAACAACCAAATTTTTAAAAATTTTGAATAGAAAAAAATTCAAAAATTCTGTTATATGGAGACTTTAATCTGGACCTGCTTACGATTTTTTTTTTCATAGGCTGTAGTACCCATTACACACTTCAAATACGAAATTTGAAATAATTCCGGTAAATAATAATAAACGGAATGATAAAGTTAATATACCCTCCATAGAATTTTAGTGGGTATAAAAAGCCCATTGTATATTTGACGTTGTCCCAATATAACGTTACCTTCCTTATTCATATGTTTCAGAAATATATTTAAAAAATGGATTTTCGTTCGCTATGCCTCCGCTGGGAGTATACTTTCAATATGGGACCTCCAGTTGGTATATCCCTTATGACGGTACCTATTGATTTTCGGCATTTTAATTACTGTTTCGAGCTGAATTGACTGATGTAGGTTTAATATTTGGTGTTGCTATTATTTAAGTATTTCAAAACTTTCGGAGATATTTTTCAAAACAAGCTGTTTTTGGGTCTCCGATTTTTGAAGAATATGAATCCTCGTGCCAAATACTAACTTTACTGGATTACATGCGGATCAAATCGACATTTCTTCAAATATAAGATAGGAAGATTTGATAGCAATGAATAGTAGAGTCGCTAAAAATTAGTAAAATTTTTGGGTGCACACAATATATGTGGTCCATATTAGTGTGGGCTTCCTGGGGCCCTTACCCAATTTTCCAAAATTTTTCTTTAAATTTCGTAATTTATGAAAACAATGGGATGTTTCACATCAGCAGATCTTGGATTTTCTAAAGCTCTTATAAAACTCCCTAATAATGTTAGTCCTAAAACAAATTGTAAACGAGATAAAGAAAAGGAACACATTAAGGTTGTATATAATAATATAATAAATTTTTGTCGGGGTCCTCCAAAAAAATTACTTTGCCAAAGAAATGAGAATAAAAATTGTATCTGTGTCGAATGCACGTTCTAAAATAAATAGTAAAAAAAATAACAAAATCCCACACGATTTATTTTTTTTTTGTACTAAGAAAAGCTGCAGCTAAACCCTAACAGAAATTACGTCTACCTTCGTATGTCTGCCGTACGATTTCGTACTACGTTTCCTCACATAACTCCAGGAAAACCCCCAAAATTCCACCCATTTCCCTTGAAACCTTGGTCAAATGTCTCGCAAATGCAACCCGGCAACACTGTAATGCATTTTCACATATTTTCATTTGTTTTTATTTTGCAACATCCATACAAACATATTTTACTCCCAGAGTGCAAAACCATAATGCGCTTCACTTGTAACTATTGATTTATGTTTTTTTTTAATTTAAAATTTCCGTTTACAATATTTACACACACACATACATTCATACCAAACATAATGGTTTACTTGCATTGCTGATAACCGGCTCAAACACGCACTCGCACTCATTCACGATATGTACATGCATGTACACATGTGCATATCGTGTGTATGTGTGAGTGTTTTTAAATATGTAGAAATGATTGCATTTGCACACGCACTCGTCCTGTAAATATGCTCGGCATAAAGGACACAATTATGCGTTGGCCCTAAATGGCTTGTTGGCTGGATGGCTGGAAGGAATGCGGTATAGAAGTACTACAAACCTCTATATCTCTCCCTCTCCCTCCCCTCTCTCTATATATCTTTCTCATTCTCGGATTTAATAAATAACATTTACATTGTCAATAAATGTGCATAATTCAAAAGCATATGACGCGACATTGTTTGAATGCGCTTTTTTTCTTTGGTTGGATGCTTGTTTTCGCATACATTTGTACATACATAAATTTATAATCACAACAACAAAGCCTGAGTGAAAAAAAAATTTAATTTAACAAAATGTCCTTTTTTCTATTTGCAGATTGGGTCCCATTCCCGGCACCTTACATCAACAACAAATGCCACAAAGTATGTCAACGGGTAATAATACAATTGGTGGTCATGGCGGTCATGATCGTGGTGGCGGGGGTGGAGGCGGCGGCGGTGGCAGCATTGGCGGCGGTGGCGTTATACCTGGCGGCACAATGAACGGACCCAATGGACCACATTGCCAGATGAGCGGTTCACAGCCATTGGTTATGCCCGCATTTCCATTGCGTAATTCACATTCTGCACATGCACCACACTATTCACCCTACTCACCTTCCAGGTAATATAATCAGAATAATTGCATTACTTGCCATTGCATTGCGTATGTGTACTTATTTGTAGGTATATGTAAATGCATATTTGCATACTATTATTATCATTATTATTATTAAAAACCATAAAATTGCCCCAAAGTGTTAACATTTGTTATGCAGATGCGGAAATGTAAAAACACATCGAGGTGTAGATATACATATGTACATATGCACATGTGTGTATATGTATGTGTTTTGTATTTTATAAATCATGTCACAAATTAAAAGCCAAAACTGTCACCGAACATTTCAAGGGATATCAAAAAAAGTTAATATTATATATAGCAATTGATAATATATAAAAACTTCAAATACAAACAAACAACACACTTCATGAATACATTAACATATATAAATGTATGAAAAGAGATTATATATTTTATTTAAATATTACTGATTATGATATAGGCAAATTAAGAACAACATGAATCAGATTCCATTTTTGACGAATGTGAATGCCTCCGATAAAATTATAGCTTGAAAGAGAAAACCCAACTCTGGATCTGACATGAAGATGAAATATATTAATTCACTTCTTCCGGTACCTCCCCCACAACGGGTTAAAATTTTGAATAAGCATGAAGCTCATAAAACGCGAAATTAACAGCAGATTCCTTCCAAACTCAGTACATACCAATATATTAATACAAATCCAGACGTGAAGATGGAAAATATCCGCTCCCCTATAAAGATGGACGTTGTGGATAAATTCAAAATTGCGAAATAAGCATATCATTCCTATCAAAACTTACACATCTTAATATTTTTACCAATGCACGATCTGATGGGAGGATGAAAAATATATCGGCCCATCTCCTTTGGTATCACCCTCATGATGGGTTAAAATTTATTTGATTTCAATATTTATCTCTCATAACTTGCGACACCATTCAGCGATTCTCTTCAAACTTGGCATATGTAAATATGCCTCTCAAAAAAAGATCAGGCGTGAATAAGGAATTTATATGCTTTCCCCTTTGAAACCACTCCCATAAAGGTTCAACTACAACAAGCAATAAATTTATAAGAAATGCATGAAACCATGAAAAAACGTCTCCTTATCAAAGATATTCATTTCTCCCTAAAGAAGTCCAAAAGATCGTCTAGAAGAAGGCGATATTTTTATGGTCAATGTTGACCTGAGGTTTTCTCATGGAAAATGAAGAGAGGAGAAAGCAAATGAGCCTTCTTCTTCAAATTTTAGAATAAGTTTAGATTTGTTCGAATTGGTCAAGAAACCGTCACACGGTGTCCGAATATTGCTCTGCGGTATTTTAGCCCATTCCCGGCGAATTCCTTGCTTGAGGTGATCTACAAGTTGGTATTTTTTAGCGCCAACCTTGTTTTCCAAAATACTCCAGACACAATAGTCCAACGGATTGGTATCCGGAGATTTTGGTGGCCATTGTGCGCTGGAAATGAAGCGAGGAACCCCATTTTGTAACCATTCTTGGGCGGAGCGTGCTGAGTGCGATGGTGCTGAGTCCTGTTGGAATGTCCAACGCCTGCGGCTAAAATGTTTGCCTGCGGCTTGAATGTTTTCTCATCGGAGAAAACCAAGTTCGGCAGTTCACCACTTTCAGCCATGCGAAGCAACTCTTTAGCTCTTTTGTGTCTATTTTCTTTCTGTTGCGGTGTAAGTTCTTGTACTTTTTGCAATTTCTAGGGCTTTGCCCTAAGCTCATTTTTCAATATTTGCCGAATGGAATATTGCGAAATGTTCAGCTCACGAGCCATTTTTCGGCCACTACGGCACTGGTTTCGATCAAGTCGCTTCTTTACTTTTCGAGCCATTTCTGCTGATGTTGCTGTTTTCTCTTTCGTCCATTTCCTTGACGTCGGGCTACGCTACCAGTATCACGGTAACGAGCGATGGTACGAGACACAAAAGATTTATTCAAATTTAAATGCTGGAGTACTCTAATGATTGCCTCTTGCGGTTTTCCAGCCAAATATAAAGAAATCACGCTTGAATTCCATCACGAATATCTTTTTTTCTGGAAAATTCTCACCAAAATGCTATTGTACGCTTGAAAACAATATAATGAGCTGTCACTGGAATAATTTAAACAGCTGTCGGATGAGTGGTTTAGAAATGACAGCAGTCTGAAGTTTGTTGTAGTTTTTTCATCTCACCCTGTATTTGTATTCAAGAGAGGATAGTATTCAATAATAGCACGCATGCGGGCTAGTGTCTTAAAGCTTTTCTTTTCTAAAACTCTCACAGGAGGAATTTACTTTGTGTTCTATTTGCGAGAGGTCTATCCTCTCTTATTTTCCCCTCCCGCAATGAAGATCAATATAACTTCTCTCAGAACAGAGAGAGAGAGAGAAGAAGTATCCATAGTGGGGGACATGCCAAGTGTGGAATGATATGTTATTTATAATATTTTTAAGGAATACTTACCTTCTTATAAAGACAACACAACCTGCTTAAATTTGTTTAAAAAATTTACGAAAAGTTTGATCGAGATTTCATCTGAGAATACACAGAGTTATATTCCTTTTTAAGGGGTGCACGACCGGAGACTTTGTCATTGAATGAATTTACTCTAAGTTTTATTTGCCGATAAATATATTCTCTCAACATATTGTTAAATCTACATTTGCTCTCTTTCTTGATTTTTAAGGGAAAATACCACCAGATCTTATAGTGGCTGAATTATTAAAAAGTTCGAAAAGAAAAAATCGGATACAATTTTACGTTTTCAAAAATATTTTTTTTTTCGTTGGTACAAAATGGTCAGGCTTAATCCCTTTATTGTTGTTTTTATAAAAACAACGTTTGTTTATTAGTGGAGAACGATGGTAATGTTTATCAGGTGGTAAACCAGGGTAAAAACAGGTAACTGTAAAAACAACAATAAAGGGATTAAGCCTGACCATTTTGCAACAACAAAATACTATGGTATCCCGAACAAACAAGCCAAACACTGTTGTAATAATTTTTTTCTTCAATATTCCGATAATTGATAAATACACTTTTTGTGAGACACTATAGTTTTATAAATTTCATAATTTTGTATGGATACCAGAAGGGGTAGTTCGACAGTTATATACAGTATGGACCACCCAGCCATGTATGTATTATCGAGGTTATAAAAATTGCATACCACAATCTGTCCTGATCAAATATAAAATTCTCAAGTAATGTTAAATAATATGTATGGTTCCAAAAATTTCAATATTTCTAAAAAAGATCTTGAAACATAATATCTATTAAACCATTCTGGCGAGGTGTATTAAAATAAATCCCACGGTTCATTCGATACTAATCAAAAAATATAATATTTAAATTAAAAAAAAAAAAATCATTTACCTTATAAATATTAAACACAATACGTCACCATCAACCCACCTGACAAAAATGGCAAAAAACAAAATCATTAAGAGTTTCATTTGTGATCATTTTTTTTTTTTGCTACTCTTTACCAAATCCTTTGCCTTTCCGTGCTACATAGTTTGCCATTCACAAAAAGTGTTAAATGATGTCTAATGTCAGCAGATTTTAGCGTGACAACACTCACAATGCCGGTTTAACATCACGCTTTCTGTTCTGTGGTGTAAGCGTGCTAGAGAGCTTCTAATAAACTTGAAATGAAAAACGGCAAGAAATTAATTTTCTTGGCATCGTTTTTTTTTTTTTTTTGTTCTCTCTCGCTTTGCCTTTGCATTAAACCCACATCATTTTTACCGTGTATAACCACTTTTCACTTATAATTTTCTTCATTTCTTTTTGAACTTGTGCATCGATGGTTGGTTTGTGTTCGAATGGCTGGTTGGTTGGTTCTTTGGTTGGTTGGCTGGCTGGCTGGCTGGCTGGCTTGACTGACTGAGGGTGCTGTGGAACATCTAAACATGGTTCTTTCACGAACAAATCATCATCATTATTTCCACACGAAATTTGCACCTCGTTTTACTGCTGCATCTTGTACATCATGTTCCTCCTCTTTCGTTGCCCTCGATCTGTTGGTAAGGAAAATATTGCCTCTGGAAGTTGCACATTATTTGCATGTAATGGCAACGGCACTAACACAGATTGCCATGAATGTCTCTGATGTTGATGACGCCGATGACGACAACGGCAACGAAGACGATTGTGTGAAGTTGATGCAATGCATAAGGATGGGTTACCCAACGTGCATTACCCATAAATGTTGGGCGGTTTTTTTGGAATAAGGAAAAAAAGTGGGACGTATGTCTGCTATCACGAATGAGCATCTTCGTTATGACACTTTTTTGCGAGCCGCCGTTTTTTTGCTCTTCTACCGGTTACCATGAAACAAACACGCAAGCGTGGTAGACAATTTTTAACTGTCATTTCAATATCCTGCTCCTATATCTTTGGCCATTACAAACATTTAGATAGGAAGATGATGGTGGGTAGAATTTATGATAGGCCTTGAAAAAGGGGCCCTAAGAAAAGTTGTCACCAAAAGGATGAAGAAATATTTTTCTTAGGATATTCCAATCAATACAGAGCACAGTCAAATTAAAATTCCAGGAGTGCTACTGAATGCCCATTCTATGGAGGGTATATTAGTTTTCTTATTCCGTTCGTAACTTCTCAAAATATTCATGATAAACCCTACAAGTATATTCGGGATCAGCGTACAATTCTAAGACGATTTTATCCGTCTGTGTGTCTATCTGTCCGTCTGCCTGTTGTAATCACGCTATCTTGAGAACAAAGCGAGATGGAAAGCTAAAATTTTGCACACATGTGTATTTCAGGGTACCTCCCGATAATTGATATTTTGATGATTTTAGCGACATTATTCACCCGAATTGTTTCAAATTTCGTATCCGGAGTTTGTAAGGGGTTCTACAGCCTATGCCTAAAAATGTTGTATGCCGGTCCATGTACAGGTATATCCCCCATATAGCGGTACCTCCCGATATTCAGTATTTTGATGGTTTTAGCTACATTATTCTCCGGAATTGTTTCAAATTTGGTATTTGAAGT